GTGTAGAATGATGATGATGCTTCACCGATCTGTTGGTTAGGTTTCCCAGGGGACCTGGGCTGCAGTTTGCACTGGCATTCTTTACCTGTAATCTTGACAGAATCGTGTTGAATCACTTGGATGACGCGAAACTAGTCCACAGGAACACCAATACACGAAATGTAAACTATAATCTTAAAGCAACTTCCGCAGGGAGACTGCTTCACCATTTTTAAATTTACCAGCGATCGATAAGGCAGAATATGGGTATTATACAATCACGCGAAATAGACACGGACAGGACACGTCTGCTGAGACACAGAAACTCACAACCATTCACTGACATTTTGATGTTTTACCCAAACCGATCAATGATTTGCACACATCACATTGTTGGGACGCCCATGCATGAATTGACGATGTGAGGCACTATGGTGTGGGCTTTCCGTGTCACTCGCTCCCGATACTGTGATCCACGACCAGTTTCGTCCTTGTTTGGACTCATCACTTGGTGATAATTGGGGTTGAGTTTGGAACTCTGAACGTGCTGGTTAATGGCTCGCCGAACAACCTTCTTGTGGTGCCAGCTGGGCTGTTCGGGAATTTCCAGTTCTGACGAATGGTTCGGCGGCAGTGTTCTAGGATGTGGTGGGTTTTCACCTGGCAAGCGTTCTCCCTATAAAAAACCACACATATCCGTTTATCAATGCTGCAACTTGGCGGATGTGACTCGCCACCAAATGAAGTCACTGCCCCTTGTCTCCTTTGGAGACATTGTACACCGGCAAGAAATCAGCATCGGATCTTTTCTCCCACTTCGGGAGTGTTGGGCCCCTGGCGTGGCCTATCGTCATCCGAAAGGCGTATGAACTGAGTGTCCAGTCACCGGCCCCCAACGGGTGCAAATCCCTAATCATGCCCTGCTGTCTTGTGGGTCAGGCCCTTTGGCCAAAGGCTCGGGGCGGTGGTCCCCTAAGACAACCTACCTACCTCGGCCTAGGCAACCGGGTAGTATCTCGCCTATTGACGAACCATGGACTTACAATTACAACCATTCACACGCTCTCTTGCTGCTACGATGCTATTCACTCACGTTACTATGCCAACTTCACAAGCATATGTCACCATTTACTTACCCTTCCCTTGTACCATTCACACCCATTTTACCTAATTCCTCTATGGCGATGAACCCCACCTACACTGATGAACATGTTCCCGTGACATCCGCCAACTCAACCACACAGTGCTCACCAGAGAGCTGCCAGTCCCAAAGTCTCCCATCTTTGCTCCTGCAACCCGGAACGCAGTTTAAACTTGCAGCCTTCAACGTACGCACATTACTGCAGATCGGTCAGCAAGCTGGACTTGCATGCACGCTAGAGACCCTTGGAATTGATATCTGCTGGCTGAATGAAACTCGACTCCAGGACTCTAACTCGGTCTACCAGCTGGCGTCACCGCTCCACCCACGCAACCGTTTCTATCTCCGCCTCTTTGTTGACGCCGAGTCCGCCGCATCTGGGCAAGCTGGTGTTGGAATCGCCCTCAGTGCTAGAGCCGAAACTGCTCTTATTAATTGGATTCCGATCAATAGTCGCCTTTGTGCAATGAGGCTCCATGGCTCTTGTAAAGTTAGTAGACGTCGAGTCGTAAAAGTGGCTCTCTTTGTGATCTCTGCCTACGCGCCCACTGACTGTAGCGAGGACACAGTCAAAGACCAGTTCTACCAGAACCTACATGAGCTGCTCTTAAGGGCTCCTAAAACAGACATCATTGTTTTAGCAGGAGACTTCAACGCCGCGTATCGGTCGGCTGCTGCCATGTGAGCGCCACTTCGGGGGACCACGGATATGATAGTGTCCGCTCAGACAACGGAGAAGAACTGCTCAGCCTGTGTGTTGATCATCAACTTTTCCTCTCCAGCACGAGCTTTCGTCATCCTTGACGCCAGTACGCCACTTGCCGCCCCCCATCATCAAGCCAGCGCTGGTCACCGATTGACCACATAGCTATAAGTCGCAGGTGGCGCGGCAGCGTACGCGATTGCCGATCATTTTGGTCAACATGCTTCGGTACCGATCATGCACTGGTATGTGCAACCGTTTGCATGCGTTTCGGTGGTTCACCTAGGTCCAAACACACCTGACTGAACACCTACAAGTTGGAGGACCCAATGGTGAAGGAGTATCAACAAAGGCTTCGTGAAAATCTCTCTCTCCTACTCTGGATGTTGATCAACACTGGTCAAGTCTGCAACAAGCCTTGCTGTCGGCCGGTCCGTCCAGCTGTGGCCTCGCTCGCTCCACCCAAAAGCTGGACTCGAGAAGATCGGAATTGCTGGATCGCCGACGGGCGGTGCTTGCTGGCGCAGACTACAACGAACACCACCGGTCTATTACGCAACAGCTGCAAGCAAGCCTTCGCTTTGATCATGAATCTTGGTGGTCAAAACAAGCTGATGAAATGAAAGCCGCTGCATCAGCTGACAACTTCCGCCGTCTGTTTTGCATCATCAGGACCACCGGTTGCAATTTCCATGCTATCAGCCAGACGATTTGCGAATCGGACGGCACGAAGATCACCAACCTTCACAGGCGATCGGGTCGCTTGACAGTGCATTTCGGTCTTCAATTCAACCACCCAACACAGCCCCCTGTACCACCTCCAGCCCCAGTGGATAATGCTTGGCCTGTCTCCACAGCCCACCCCCAAATGAAGCAGAGATCCGAGATGCATTCCAGTCTTTGTAACGCCACAAGGCTCCGGCTCCCGACAGCCTACTACCGGTTCTATTCAAAGATGGCGGGAGTGTACTTGTCAGCGAAATCCTATCGCTGTTCACGAAAGTTTGGAGTGAGGAGAAGGTTCCGAACTCATGGGGATAATCGGTCATTGTTTCCTATTCACAAGAAAGGCTCCCGCGACGATTGGTGTAACTACCGCGGAATCTCGTTAATCTCTGTCGCATCCAACATCTTCGTGTCGGTCCTACTTCGCTTAAAGAGCACTGGAAGGTGTGCAGAACTGCGGTGTTGAGCTCCTCCCTGGAGACAGAGTCACTGACTTGTACTACGCCGATGATATCGCCTTGCTGAGGGACGACCAACAAATTGTCCTGCGCGCTTTGGACCGTTTGGCGATGGCAGCGTCTAAGTACGGCTTATGCTTCACTCCGGGAGAATGTAAAACGCTGCTCCAGGACTGGCAGGTGCCTGAACCCGCGCTCACCATTGCTGGACATGTTCTGGAGCAAGTCACTTGTTTTACTTATCTAGGAAGTTGCATCACGGTTGGTGGCGGTATTGGAGTTGAAGTCCCACAACAGATTGCAAAGGCCCGCCTTGCATTCATCAAACTGAAACATCTATGTCGTCGTCGTTATGTCAGTCTCAAGCTCGAGGGCAGTGTGTGCAATGCTTCCGTCCGTGCAGTACTCTTGTACGGCTTTGAAACGGCCTATTCGCTCGAAAGACATGAAGCGGCTGTCAGTTTTCGACAATCGCTGTCTACGAAGGATTGCTCGGATGTAGTGGCAGCACCACGTAAGCAACGCAGAGGTCCGAGACCGAGTGCTTGGAGTGGGTAGTGCCAGTCTTCGGAACGCTATTCTCCGACATCGCATGCGTTGGCTCGGGCACGTTTTGCGCATGCCAGCCCATCACCTTCCACGTCGAGCGCTATTTGCACTCCCAGGGAGCGATTGGAAAAAGCGCCGCGGTGGACAGCCAATGACGTGGCGAAGGAACATGAAGAAGGCAACCTCAAGTTTGGCGGCAGTTGCACCAGTCCGTCTTCCAAGTTAGGGACCACGAGATGCGGAATCTCAGTGGTTGGAAGCATTGGATGTCGTGGCCCGCAACAGACATCAGTGCCGTCAGTGTTGTTCTGCCATTTTACCATCCCTTTAATGTACACAAAAAAAACTCACGAAACAAAACCAAAAAATTAAAATAACGTAAAACCAAAAAATCGTTTTCCATTTTTTATTATCGCATTTTTTGTTTCTGTCTTCTCCATTTTTTTCTCCTGCCATGGTTCTAATGGCACTGTGTCTGTTAGCAGACTGAATATATATATATATATATATATGTATATATATATATATGTATATATATATATATATGATTGACGGCTGACGTAATGCTCACAAGCTCACTGAGATTTATGCACAACGCTTACCGCTTCCAAGGATTTTTTATCCAACAACCTTTATATTGGCATAAAAGGAAGGTTGGCAACCACATCCATTTTGCTAGACATCAGAGTTAACTTCGTTTTGAAAAGGCGTTGAATGTCCGAAACCAAAGGTCCGTTGCTTATGGGCATCAGATGCATACAGATTGGTGTTGAATTTGTCTGGACCAAAATAGTCTTTCACGGAACTATTAGACTAGTGAAATGATTTATCGATCGAATATATCACATCACATGTACCACATCAAAGTCAAACAAGTACACTGTATCCGTCCAATAACGAGGGTGCTTGATTCGGAACCTCGGAGAACCGGTCATGATGCGATAAAGTAATCGAGGCAGCGATCGCAACGGCTTATAAGTCAGTGCCGTATGTCATCATCGCTCTTGTGACTGGATCCCACTCGCCTTAACTTTAGACCAGTTTTTAAAATGAGTCGCAACAAGCCAGTTGAGTTCAAACAGGGAGAAGGGGTTTTTCGAATGGTGTGAGCAATGCTTAAGACAGCCATACTAACTCATTCCAACGCAATGGCTTATTCATCTGTAGTGTGTGCATTCAGAACTGTTGTTGGACTTCAGGTTACCGACTGATTTTTAAGGTGACACTACAGCTACCGCTTTCTTGTATTCAGACTGACGTGCCTGTTCTGGCTGCACTGTTATTTTACAACGTATTTTTGCCATGAATTAACTATTCGCTTTACGCAGACTTCATCATACTAACTCTTATGTTCAGTTTAACACGCCTGTACCATTTTCTTTGACATATTTGTGCTTTGCTTATTTTTGTGTGTGATTGATCACTTGGTATCTCCTTCATTTAGGGTCTGTTGCCTTGTGGTCGTGATCCAAACCCAAGGAGGAAAAAACACGAAGCGATCAATAAGCTGCTTGCTGAAGAGTTTAACAAAAAGTCCAAAGTTATTTTGTTGAATCCCGACTGGGAACTTTTTATCCAGCCTAACGGAACTATATCTCATCGAGATCTTTTCGACTACCTGCACCCAACGGAGCATGGTTACACCAAGTTTGCCGAACCTTTGATTGAAGAAGTCCAAAACTTGTTACAAACTTTCCTGAAAACAAATGCTCCTTCGAATAGTTACGTTGACGAGTCTTGAGTGATCAATGTCTACTTGGCTGTCTCGTTTAAGGGATACCATGGTTTTTGTCTCCAGATTACCAACCTGAAACAGCTCTTCTGGTTACGGACACCACCGGATGCGGCATTTCCTTTGTGTTCACCTCTCGGAACGGCTTCCCAACCCTTGTCTCTTCTACTTTGCCATTACTTTTCCTTCGACTTCATGAAGTGATTTTGCACCATTTGCCTTTGATTTTTTCACTTGTTGCCGCTGCATTCCGTCTCATTGTTTTGGTTTTCTCTTTTCGTACCATCCCTCCGGTTATGTATGCTTCGTTTCCTCCTTTATTTATGCTCTTGCAAGTTATCAGAGCTTTTGATACGCGTTTAACTCGCCTCGTCTGTCTCTTTTACGGATTCATTTCAAAATATTTAACAACTTGTTATCGGTATGCACGCAATAGAGAATAAATTTTTAATGAATTCATATCACTAGCCTACTTCATTTGAGTAGTTTTTTCGAACATGATCTGAGAAGGCACGTGTTGTTTGAATCACCCACTTTCTGTTCCAACTCACTCTTCCGGAAAGGCCTCAGTGAATTAGGTAATATCGCAGGAGCCGCGCAATTACGTAACTCTCAGACACATCTCTGTGGTTATATGTTTCGGGAAAATTCATCCGCCTCACTGTATCACCATTCGTATTTCGGGCAACTGAATTTCATTGGAATTTTGACTTCATATTCTCTATCGTCAATGAGATACGATGTTACGGTCAAAACAAGACACCCGGTTCCACCGACCTTACTCGATCATTGCAGAACATCTGTAGCTGCTCTGGTCTATTTGCACAATTCGATGTAAATTGGCAATAATCCCAAACTGGTATTTGTCTACTTTGTTTCCCTTCTTTTTGAAGAGTCAAAAAACTTCTCTTTGGGCTCATCATCTTTGTCTGCATTCCGCTGACATGCGTCAGGCATCAATGGTTTGTTTATCCTCAGTGAAGTCGATTCACTGGATGTGCGCTCCCGTTTAGGTTTAAATCAATCTTTACGTTATACTCTCTTATTTGGCATCGTCATGCACTCAAGCCATCACATTTATCTTCACTGTCTTCTGGATCAGCTTTAGTCCGCCTAGTTGCGCCTCGCTTCATCTCTTCGCCTCTATACCGCGTGGTTGTGGGAACTGTGCTCGAGTCTGCAGTTGGCTCTGATAGTGTCCCCATTGTTGCTACACTTTGTCGCAGCTAACCTATTCCCCCCCCCCTCATTTCATCTCCATACACGAAATAATCATTGACGACCCGACTTTCGCCCATCGTTTTGGCGTAAAAATGCTTCTTTGTGTGCGGACTCCAAACTCTCTTTGTACGTATCCCAGATCTTCCTCTGGGTATTACATTCTCTGCTGCGTTGCTTGTACTTTCAATGTATAAGGTACTGTAGCAGGATCAGATAGCCACATTTGCTGTCACCGAACAACTACTCATGTCCCGAATCCGCATCATGTCTGATGCTTAAACCGTTTCTGCATCGATAGAGCCGCTGCGACCTCCTGAGAACAAGTGGGTACCCATACAAATTCGTTCTTCAACATCTGAAATAACGCTATATATATATATATATATATATATATATATATATATATATAGCACAATCTGTGGTGCAGATATTGTGCCATCAGAATCATGGCAGAAAGAAACAGTATACGAATGGGAAGAAAAAGAACATGCAGCACTTTTTCAGTAGTTTTTCATTCACAATTTTTGAGTTTTTGATTATTTGCTTTATTGGGGAACGGAAGGGAAATCACCGTAACGCGCAGATATACACGTCCGCTATTGACGTCGATCCTGAGCCATGACTTCTAGAGTCTCCAGCCAGTGACATCCTGTATCACTGAAATCCCAACCAGGGAGTCGAGAACAACCGACAAAGGCTAAATGTTTCGTCAGCTTTTTCGTGCGGTTTCTCATTGTTGTAGGTATTAGTAACACTTAGTTGTAACAAAGTCAGGGAAGAGTGGGACAAAACCATTAAACTCCTCTGCAACGCACCAACAAGTTATTTGTGCCAAACAGCTTAGGTATAATCATGTTGTGAATGATGGTCTTATACGGGTAAAAAAGCTAATGCTTAACAGGTCCCGTAGTATGGTTATGGGGAAACTACAAAATATAAAAATGATTGTTAGCAAAATTGGGTTTACACCAGTACAGTCACTGAAGTATACTTAGTATAGACTGTAAACCCAAGGTAAATGACGGCAAATGGGATGTTGGTAAAAATCGTGTCTCGTTCTGGTGTACACATAGAGTATGTGAAAAGCGTGGAACGAAATTTGGGATTTGACCGCCATTGAAATCGCTTACAAACGCTTGTCTTTATCTATGGGTCATGTGAGGTGGTGCAGCGGAATAAGTGTACGGTCAACTCGGGCCTTGAACTTTGCCTGCGTGGGAGCACATATGGCAGATTCCGGTAGGGCATTCCACGTTCTACAAACGCGTACAGAAAAGAAATCCCGACGACATTCCAACCGACTGTGCCTCTCTGCCATTTGTGGATGGTGGCTTCTCAAATTGCTGTTGTGACTGAGCTCTAATAAGTAGCGGTACGTGTGGTTGGGATCTCTCACAATTTGGTAAATCAAAATGAGGTCCCCGCGCAATCGCCGATATTGTCCGCTGAAGACCTAGAGAAGTTGAAGCCTTCGTTCATACGGCAAATTATACAGACCCTTGACGTTTCTGGTTGTCCGGCGTTGGGGTATCTCTAAGGCGGTGAGATTTCTCCTCAACCATGACTGCCAGACCTGTATTGCGTATTTCACATGTGACCGTATGTATGAGCCGAGAAGTTGTGGAAAAATCGAATCGTCCGAATGCACGCTTCAGTAGGCCCACGTGTTTGATGCCTCTCCTTGAGGCCGTTCCAGTCTGATTCGAACATCCAAGGTCAACCTAGACGTAAGCTCCTAGATCCTTCCCGCCAGAAGAAGTTTGAAGCTTGTGGTTGCCGAGTTGGTAGGAATACACCAACTTGTGCCGTAGATGCAGCACTCCACGTTTGTCTACGTTGAATCGAAGATTCTGCATTGGCCACGAGTATACCCTATCCAGATCAGCTTGAAGTAATGTGATATCATCTGATGTATTGATCTTCATCCACACCTTGATGTCATCGGCATAGATAAGGCAGTTCGAGCTTATGTGGCCTGTGATATCGTTAATGTACATCAAAACTAATCGCGGTCCTAGTACGGGTCCTTGTGGTACTCCGCATACAACTCGGATGGGATCTGACAGCCAAGCACGCACACGTACTTCCAGGCGCCGGTGTAGAAGAAGGCTTCTGATCCATCCTAGGAGAGGATCACCAACACCAAAGGTCTGGAGTTTGACGAGCAAAATTTTATGGTCTAACCGTTCGAACGCCTTTGAGAACTCAAGGAAGATTACATCAACTCCTGTGCCAGAGTCTACTACTTCAGTCCAGCTGGATCGTGCTAGTAGTACATTTGTAGTGCATGACCGATTTCATCGGAAACCATGCTGTTCCGGTGCGAGGTAGTTAGATTCTTCCAAGTAAGCCGTTAGCGCATCAGAAATAATAGCTTTTATGACCTTTGAAAGAACCGGTAATAAGGTTATGGGTCGGTAGTTGCTGAATTGGAACGACTATCTACCTCGTGAATAGGGGTAATCATCCTGTGTTTCCACATGTCGGGCACGTACATTTCGTCAAAACTGTTTGAAGAATCGAGCCAAAGGCTCAGCTAAACTCTGTCCCACCGCGGCTAGCGATTTCGTGAGTATATTATCAACACCAGAAGAACTGTGCTTGCGCATACTCAACAGCTTTTTTAGTACAGCTTCTGCTGTGAAGGATATGTGAGTGAGTTTTGGGGGTGAAACAATCATTGTCATACGCTTATGTGGCCAGTGATCGCACTGAAATGGTGGAGCATATTGTAGGTGCAGGGTATTCGCCGCCTCCTGCAATGTCCGTGTAAGTTTGTCCGCTGTTTGAAGAGGAGGAATACCCCGTTTCACCTTACGTAGACTGTTGACGCGTTGATACAGAAGCTTGTTATTTGAGGCCGTACGCACTGCCAACCTCTGCTGGTACGCCATTCTGTCCTCACGAACAAACTGAGTACAATGGTTACGTTGAATCGTATAGATCATCCAGGTCGCGGTGTTTGGGGAGAGTTTGTAGATATGCCAGGCTGAGTTTCGCACCTCTATACACTTATGGGTCCTGCTTCGCAGAAACGAGACCACGTTTCTCGGGCAGAAGTTCTTAGTCTCTGACGCTTCGGCAACCAGGGAGTTAAACTGGCTGACGCAATCTTTCCCTGCACTAGCTGGTGCCTCGTCTGCCAGAATGGTCCAGTTAACTGCCTCACCTAATCAAGCTAATAGATCGTAGTGTATAATAGTTTTTTCCCACCGGCGATTTCCAAGGGGTGTTCTGCATAGTACATGTATTCGTAATGTAGGATAACATGATCACGGTGACCCAGTGGGACGTCGACGATCACCCTATCGACCGTTAGTTCTTCCTTGGTGAATATCGGATCCAGTATCGAAGGCTTGTCTTTTCCCCGGAATCGGGTGAGTGTGTTATTGTTGTTGTCATACAACGGGTTACCTTAGACAAACTCCTGTAGATCCGCTTTAAACTGTTCTCCAGAAGATGCTTGGGATTCCAGACTGTTGATGTCGAAATTGCCAGTAATGAGAATGTGGCTGTAACTTGTGTTTATCACCCTCCTTATTGCAGATACAAGATAGAAGTCCGTCTCAGGCGGGACGGAAGAAGGGCGGTAAATGACTGCCACTAAGCAAGTTTCGTCGCCTTTTAAACATAGACGACACCAAAGGGAATCTTGTGCCATGCTGACCGAACTCTATGAGCTCACATTGGAGGTAGCTGCGGAACTACAGAGCTACCGCTCCACCTTTACTGGGTCGGTCGTGTTGAATAATGGACATGCCTAGCACTGCAATCTCCAGGTCACTTTTGTCGAGGAGTCACCATGTCTCCGTTATAGCGATGAGGTCGCGGGCTTTTGATCATTGACGCAGCCGCATTTTGGAAAGTTTACTCAGTAAGCCTTGAAGGTTGATGTACATACAATAAAGCTACTCGGTTGTCAAAAGCTGTTGACTAGGAGTACATGAATGATGTGGATTTGTGCCTGCCGATGAGAGGCCGGCACCCAATTGTTTTTTGGGTGAACTGCCAAAACTCGATAGGAATGCAATTTGTTTTGATCGTACTTGCACCTGCTGTATGTAGTCCATCGGCAGCCTTCTCGATAGCTACTAGTCTTAGTGCACATGTTTGAACCGTTTTTGTGGTTATGTTGAGTTGCGGGTGGTATCGCTTCCGCGAAAACAGCGAGTAACTGCGGCTCTCTAACTGCTGTCTTTAGTCATAGTTCTGAAGAACGTTTGTTGCGTAGTAACTGCCAGCT